AAGCAAGCTTTCTGGCCAGCAGTCAATGGACTTCACTATGGCAACTGGAATGCAGTTTACCTCTGGTGGATTTCAGGTTAGTTTCAGGATCATTTGAACTATAGTACCAGAAGCAGTGGTTTTAAATTTCTAAGCATTCTCTCCACAGCTTGGGAAGGAAATCTCTACTGAAGAGTTGGTGTCAAAAAAGATGTATCCGAAGCGTGAGGAATTCCAATGGCGACCTGCCCCTTTATTATGCAAGCGTTTTGACATTGTTGATCCTTTTATGGGAAAAGTGAGTTTATTTCCTTTTTGCTTTCAATTTACATCTGCAATGTATTAGTTTATATTATACTTAATAGCTAGTTATTCCCTGGTAAGCATTATCTTTTTACAAGTTTAGAGGCGCACGCAATGCGGGCATGACTATCCCCCTCCAAATTTGCTTATACAGTTATTTATACTTTGTACATAAAGTTATCTACTATACTTAACTTATTTGCATAAATGGCACCATATTGACATAATATATTACTATTTTTTTTATGGTTAGTCTATGTAAGAATCCAGTTAAGGGATGAGCAACTTGAGAAAACCTTTTTTTTTTTTTTTTTTTTTTTTTTAAGTCCTAGATTTCACTTTAAACAAACTCAAATTTATGTATTTTTAAGCGTTACACGGGCTAAAAAAAATTTCATTGTATTAATGTGCATCAATTAAATCATACATAAGATAAGTTTCATTTTTGTATTTATATCATTTTTTTTGTTGTATTTATATCATTTAAACTATACATGTAAAATATGTACACAGTATATATAGTCTAACATTACTACTAACATAAGTAATTATTGGAGTAAACATAAATAATTGTTGGAGTAATATATATGTATAGTCTAACATAAGTAATTATTTTGAGAAAAAATAACTACCATGAGAGGAGTTACCTTTTTACATTTAGGAACATTTATGGAGTAGTTAAAAATGGAATGTAATTAAAGAAAGGTTAGACTTTAAGTAAATTTAAATTTTTTATTAGTAATAAATTATTTGGAGAGGGTAAAATGGTCCACTCAAAATTTCCCAACCAAAAACACCTCTTCTCTTTATATATTACTCCCTCCGTTTTTAAATACTTGCTCCATTTCTCTTAGACACGCATGCCGATGCTAATCTTTGATCACTAATATCTTTAATTATCAATAAGTATAAATTCTAACAATTGAAAATTAATAATCTATTCATTGAGATGATTCCAACAAGTACCCACAAGACTATATTTTTTCTTATGTATAAATCACAAACATTAGTCAAATTAGCAACAAATGAATAGTGCAAAAAGTAGAAATGGAGCAAGTATTTAAAAACGGAGAGAGTACATAGGTTTCTGAATATATATCCAATCACTTCAGGTTTCCCACATCAAGTGTAAGATAAATGTCATGACTTAGGTAAAGCATAGACCAAGAGAATATACACTACATACCATGAAATTCTGTTTAATCGGGTTTTTTTTTTTTTTTTTTTTTTTTTTTTTTTTTTTTTCTTTAATAATTTTGTGTGTGTGTGTATCTTTTATGCGACTCTGTGTGCGTGTGTCTATATCTTTTATGCTACTCTCTATTTTGTCATTTATTGTCATCTATATACGTTTATGATCTAAATCATCAACGAATGAAAAACGATTTAATACTTTTTATTCTATTATTGTAATTTCACTTTCCTGTATATATTCAAGTAGCTTTTCTAATTTGTTTTATTATTATGTACTTTGCCAGCCGCCTCCTGCTCCAAAGATAAGAGGCAAGGTGGATTCTCTCATTTTTGCCCCAGATACTGCCAAAATGAAGAAGACAGAGGATATCTCTAATGAGCTGTCCATGGACATGAGTAGCAAAGAAGCTGAAGTTACTGTGGAAGTTGAAAATATAGAGCGACCAGTTGACCTATACAAGGTTTTTGTGCTTCTCATTTTCTCTTTTTGGTTGCTCAATTGGTAGTTTAGCTCATTTGTCCGAGTTACTGATTTTTTTTACACTGCTTTAAGCATTATCACTCATGAATTTTAATTTAGATGATCTTTCCCCAGTCATGCTTAACGTTGCTCTGATTCTTTATCCTTTAAGCTGTTTGCTTCTGTTTGACATGACTGGCATACCTATGGTCGTATGGAGTCAGGATTGGCAAAAAATCATTATGCTTACTCCTGGAATGTCCAATATTTTCCTTTCTGTTATTACATAAAATTCCTTTTTTCATTCCAACTCACAATCCTAGAAAGGGGTCTGCACATGCGTAGGAGGAGCTCAATTGGTAGTTAACTCAGCCTTTAGGCATGGTGGGACCAAGTCTCACAAGTGAAATTTTAGGGGGTATCTTTTTTCTTTATTTCCCCTTTTGTTTCTGAGCTGTCTTTGGCCCTAATTTTTTTGACTCTGAATTAACCCAGCAGAGGCTTACCAAAGGGAGTTCCCACTAGTATGCTTATTGCTGTGAAATAATTACTTTCAGCTCAGTCTCTGAGGATTTTGTTTAACCAGACATTCTGAATTTTTCTCTTATCTACAATATTTATTTGTTGTTACAATTGCATGTTTTTGGTCCAAATAAAGTGTCAAGTATCCAAATCCATATCACAATTGAGTATTTGAGATGAAATGAAGAGTTTATCATAGTGTATTTGAGATGAAATGAAGAGTTTATCATAGTGTATTTGAGATGAAATGAAGAGATTATCACAATTGATTATTAGAGATGAAATGAAGAGTTTATCATAGTGGATATCACTTGTGTATTTGAGATGAAATGAAGAGTTTATTATAGTGTTTCGTTATAGAGAACAGGATCTTTTTCTTTCTTTGTGAGAACGTGAAATAGGCTAATATTTCTCACGCTATTAACAGTAAAATTAAGAGAAAGATTGGCTCTTTGGTTAGCTAAATAATCTGATTTTTTGATAATTGATCTATAAAGAAGAAATAAGAAAGATGGAAGCTTGTCTATTGATTGAAAATGGCAAAAGATTTACAAAGGATAGGTCAATAGCTTTAGGCTGTCACTCTCTAACAATGGCTTGAAGCCATAACTTTCTAGGTTTCCCTAATAAATTTATGTCTACTATTTTCTTTCCCCTCCTCTATTTATAAATAAGGACTACTAACCTAGTGAGCTAATATTACTAGATTACCCATACTACCCCTCCTTAGGTTAGTCTGTTACAAAACATTGTACTTTCATTTCCTTGTATCACCTGTCTGTTGCTCTTATCTAAGATTCATGCTGGCATCTCTAATTGGCAATATGAGAGATTTCCCTTTTTTGTCTAGAGTTTCTAAGTTGAGATAGAGTTGTCATCTTGTAAGTTGAGATATGACAAGTAGACTGTATGCTGGAGCCCCTGGAGGGACGTTAGGTCATGGGAACACTGGTTTTCATGTGAGGTTCTTTTTTGTAACCTTCGTATGCAAAGGAGCTCAAGAAGTTGAACTGCTCCAGAGCAGCGGAAATTCTTTCTTTTCCTTTTTTTTAATGGGCAGAAAAGCTGAAACTTTTGTGTGACCTTATACATCTAGATTTTTTACTATCTCTGGTTCAGAGTGTTCAGACATAGGCTTTAGTTTTTCACCTTTTAAGTTGTTTTATGCACAGGCTATATTCTCTGATGACTCTGACAACGAAGAGGACGTTTCTGCTGTAAATGAAATGGAAGATCCACAGAAGAAGACTGAAGCTGCTAGTGCTGCATTTAGTCGCATAGTAGCGGGTGACTTTTTGGAGTCTTTGGGCAAAGAACTTGGCCTAGAGGTTCCGCCAGATCTACCATCTGCTACTACTAAAGCTGGGATTTCTGCGCCTCATAAAGATGTCACTGATCTCCAGGCAAAGGATTTGCCATCACCTCCAGCTCTGGGTACAGTGTCTGTAGCTCGGGACAACAAAATCTTGAATCGTGTGATTGATGACAAGGATAGAGCGCAAAAAGAATCATCTATAAGGGGAAAGGAAGTCATTACTCCAAGTTCGCATAGTGTCAGCAATAAAAAACTGGAGAGGGAAGATCGAGGGAACAGAAAAAAGAAACATGAGTCCAGTAGTTCGTCTTCAGAAGATGAAAGGAGTAGGAAACGCTCTAGGAAGCATCATCGTAGACGCACTAGTTCAGATGATGATTCTTCTGATGATTCCAGAAGTCGGCATAGTTCTAGGTCAAGAGATGACAAAAGGCGGTCTTCTCGGAAGAAGCATCGAAGGAGAAAGCATTCAAGGCATAGGTGACAGTGGGAACTGGGAAGGTTACTTGGTACATAGTGAATACAGGAGAAATCTGAAAATGATGCCATAGATTATTGAGGCCAGCTATTCAGGCAAGAAGAGCGCTGTTCAAGAATTTGAGACTGATGGATCATAGTTTGTCATGGCTAACATTGGAGCATGAAGAAATGAATGTATTTCATGTATCTTTCAAGATCAATGATTCCTAGGGACAGAAGTATAATTGTATATTCTTTTGTGATGTTGAAATTGATCATGCTTACATGTTCTCTCTAACACCTCAACCTCGTCTTTGAGACTTGATATTGAACATGAAGAAATTTTTGTAATGCTTGCTATTTTGGGATGTAATACACCGTAGTTATAAATTTTGGGTTTCTCCACCTTTCTAAGAAGAAATAGTACTCGTAAAAAATTACATGTATATGTTAGGGGTTTGCTATTCTGAACCATAGCTCTTTTGAAGTGCTGCAGCAAGGATGAGTAAATTTAACGCTCTATTTACTTGAGATACTCAATCAAATCTTAATCTGAGTGAGCTCGACTTCATCAAACTTGCAAACTCTACTCAACTAAGCTAAACTCAACTCGAGCTCGATTTAATTTTTTCGCTAAATTTGAACTTAGCACGATCATAAGCTCCCATAGATGTACAGTACTTCCGAGTTACTTGTACATTCTAGCCTTTTTTACATGTGAACAACAATGAATGGCGTTACTTAGCGTATCTTTGGAGAATTGGAGACATATCACATTACTGGCATCTGGCGGGCCTTCATCCACACAACGACACAATAGCAAGGAAAGTTTCTCGTTTACTCTTTCAATCACATTTTATCATTTTAATTTATTTATTTTGCTATAAGGACAATAATGTAAACGAAATTTAATCCCGATTAGTGATTACTGCCTATAAGAAATTAACCGATTGAGTAATATTCAAATATCATTGGTCGGTCATTCTCCCAATTATTTGGGGACATTTATTGTCCTATTAGCATTCCGATTCACATAATCATTTAATCCTGGAAGATGAGAGAAAACAACCCATAATTGGCAATTTCCCTTGAATTACCTTATCTAGAGTTCTGTAGTTACAGAGTATAAAAAAAAATCAAGATTTCATTTTCAAAAAAAAAAAAAAAAAAAAAAAAAAAAAAAAAAAAAAAAGGAATCAGTGGTTCTGTTGTTCTTCAGTTGACATGAGAAACTCGTGCACAATCTTTCAGTTCTCAACTACAAAAGTCAAAATAGGAGGTAATCAACTATTCACTTTGTGTTGTTGTCTGTATTTTACTTTTGTATATTAAATTTGTACATGTATTTTTTATACGTGTTCTTTCATTTTTCTTTGATTGTATTTGTATTAGTCAAATCATGTAATCTTCTCACAAATTCACAATCTTCTAATATGCAGCTAACTTTTCAAAAGGCGCTTTTTTGTTGTTGAAGAATTTGTATATACTGTCTGATGTTAAAAGCAGTTAATCTTTGCTTTTTTTTTTTTTTGCTTAGTTTTGTGATGAACTGATGTTAAAAGGTGAAGTTACTGAGGCAATTTATTTATGTCAGTTTTTCCTGTAAGCCGAGGCTCCTCGAATAATCGAGTATTGTAAGATCTTGTAAGGCAAGGAGTAGCTTTAGTATTACTGCTGGTTTGAAATGGGTCGAGTTAAGAAAAAGCAGCAGCATTTTGGTAAAATTGATCCCTTATCATTGGAGAAATTGTTGTCTAAGAGTCCAAGTGATCGGTCTTTGATTGGAAAGCCTGGATTTTCGAGGGTAGTTTATTGCAATGATCCTGAATGTTCTGAAGCTGAACAGCTTAAATATTGTGACAATTATGTTACAACTACAAAGTATACTCTTGTTTCATTCTTTCCCAAATCGTTGTTTGAGCAGTTTAGGCGGATTGCCAATCTATATTTCCTTATGTGCGCGTTCTTGTCATTCACTCCGATTGCTCCTAACCCACCAGTCAGTAGTGTTCTCCCTCTTGTGGTTGTGGTGACTGTAACAATGGTGAAGGAATTAATTGAAGATTTCAAGCGCAGGAAACAGGTAATGGAAGTTTTAGCATTGAAGCAATGTGCAATTGAACAAGTCTAATGTTTTTCTTATATATTTAGGCTGAGAAGAAGGGGGATTTTATGCTCTAATTTCAGATGTTGCAGTGTTAGTTTTTTTCCTAGTTTGTCTGAGTTCTAGTTCATATGCTTATTCTGACTGCAATTGTTACATGTAGAACGGCACATAATGTGTATCCTGCTATGATGCGTGTGCTGTTTTGGGGGCGGGATTGTCCTAAGTATGCAGTCTTAATCCTGCTATTCTGAAATAATATTGAAACAAAATAAATTTTTGAAGTTATTTCTTGTTGAAGTGTTAAATGTTGATCAACATCCTTGAAAGATTTATGACAGTACTTACAAGAGTAAATTGATTCCTGCATTTGATGTTAAATGGTTTGTAGGCTTGTAGCTATAACAGTACTTCGTCTGATAAACTAGTGTTTCTTCCGTATTACATTAAATTCTACTTAACAATATGTGGATGTAATGATATGGAAGTAATTTTGAAAGTTGATAATGTCAGGATAATGAGGTGAATAATAGAAAGACTAAGGTTCATCGCGGTAATGGCAACTTTGAGGACTCAAAATGGATGAACTTAAGAGTTGGAGATGTTGTGAAGGTGGAAAAGGATGAATTCTTCCCTTCTGATCTTATCCTACTTTCCTCAAGTTATGACGAGGCTATATGCTATGTGGAAACTACTAACCTTGATGGGGAAACTAATCTGAAACTAAAGCAAGCACCGGAAGTAACTGCAGGCTTAAATGAGGACTCGATGTTTCAGAACTTCAGAGCTATTATTAGATGTGAAGACCCAAATGCGAACTTATATTCTTTCATTGGGAATTTGGATTTGAAAGGGCAACAGCACCCCCTTTCATCTCCGCAGCTGCTTCTGAGGGAATCCCAACTGAGGAATACTGAGTACATTTATGGTGTTTCAATCTTCACTGGTCATGATACTAAAGTCATCCAAAATTCAGTGGACCCCCCTTCAAAGAGAAGCAAGATTGAGAGGAGAACAGATGTAATAGTAATCTTCTTGTTTTTCTTGCTATTTTTGCTTGGTATTTTCGGATCTATTGTTTTTGGGATAGTCACAAATGAGGATATCCTTGATGATGGTATCACAATGACAAGATGGTATTTAAGGCCTGATGATACCACAATATACAATGATCCAAGAAATACTTCACTTGCTGCTTTGCTGCATTTTTTGAGAGCTGTTATGCTGTATGGTTACCTCATTCCCATCTCATTGTATGTATCAATAGAGCTGGTTAAAGTTCTGCAGACTGAGTTTATTAACAAAGATATACACATGTATTATAAAGAAGGTGACAAGCCGGCACAGGCCCGTACCTCAAATTTGAATGAGGAACTTGGTCAAGTTGATGTGATATTGTCTGATAAAACAGGAACTTTAACATGCAATTTGATGGAATTTGTTAAGTGTTCTATTGCTGGAACTGCATATGGGCAGGTGATCACAACAGTGGAACGGGCTATAGCTAATAGAAAGAGGATACCTTTGACTGGCAAGGTGATGAGTAGAGAGAAAGAGAATGAGGATACTGAAGATAATGATAATGTAGATCAGTCAACTGTTAGAGGCTACAATTTTGTGGATGATAGAATCACAAATGGGAACTGGGTAAATGAAGAAAGGTCTGATGTTATACAGCAGTTCTTTCGAGTTATGGCTATTTGCCATACTGTTATACCTGTAATGGATGAAGAAACAGGGAGTTTATCATATGAAGCAGAATCTCCAGATGAAGCAGCACTTGTTATTTCAGCAAGAGAACTTGGTTTTGAGTTTTACGAGAGGACTCAAGCAACCATCTCCTTGAGAGAGTTGGATCCTTTGTCTGGTGCAAAGGTTGAAAGGTAAATTTCTTGCCTCAGTCAAATTAGATTTTCCTTCCTGTAGTTCTTCATTTAGTTCTTGGTTGGTTTTCAAGAGGAGAGTGCTGGATAAAATTAATGGAAATGGACTTGAAATCATGGCTGATGTATGAATATTTTTGTAAAATAAACTAATCTTGTTCAACCAAGTTTTAGGTCTTAGTTTGCGAATAAAGAGTTAGCCTATGAAACGTATCAGGCTTTAATCTTATACTAGCCCTTTTTTGCTGATAGGATGTACCTGCCAAGTTACTTGACTTAAGATATTGTCTTGCTTGTTTGTGCTATTACGGAATTTCTAAGCTGCCTTTTTACAGGACTCTTGAACTTCTGAATATCATAGAATTCAGTAGCACAAGAAAGAGGATGTCTGTGATTGTGAAAAACGAGGAAGGAAAAATACTACTGCTTTGTAAAGGTGCTGACAGGTTTGTAAGAATTAACTGTTAGAGCTCTAGTATCATGACATAATATGTTGTTAGATCAGTTTTTAGCAGTTAATTACTGGCCTTACCTTTTCCTTGTTTGATATTTTAGCTTGCCATGCAGTTAATGTCACATGGTTTGATATTTTAGCTTCCTGTTGGGTATAAACATTAGAGGATGTAAAGAATTAGGAGAGTAGAGAGAATGAAAATCGGAATGAAAGGAGATGAAGATTTAACTACTTCCATGCATATATAGAACATCAAATGTCATGTTTTACAATATTTAATCCTGCTCTCCCCTCTCTAATCTGATTTTTACTGATAGAAAAATGATATCATGCTCTCTAATATCTTATGATTCATAATCTGACTCTAGCTGAATCTCTATTACCTAGCTTTCCTGTATCAATTTGCTGATATAAGCGATTGTTTGAGTCCATGCTCATCAGCTGACAGCTGAATGTAATAATCTTAACTGTCCTGGATCAGTGTTATGTTTGAAAGGCTAGCATATCACGGGAGGGAGTTTGAAAGGCAGACTAGAGAACATGTTATGGGGTATGCTGAATCTGGTTTGAGAACTCTAATACTTGGATACAAAGAAGTCAATGAAGATGAATATGTGACGTTCAATGAGGCATATACAGCGGCCAAAAGCTCTATTAGTGCAGAACGAGACAAATTGGTTGAAGAAGTGGCCGAAGACTTTGAGAAAAATCTGATTCTTCTTGGAGCTACAGCTGTAGAAGATAAGCTCCAAAAAGGGGTATGTGGTATTCTGAGAATGATATATCTGAAGTTCCTCATTAATATTTTGCATTGACATTGTATTAATGTGCTAGCGAGGTTGGTTCACAATTTTCCATTTCATCCTTTTATTTTTTTACACTAAACAGGTTCCTGAATGCATTGAAAAACTAGCACAAGCTGGAATTAAGTTATGGGTACTAACCGGGGATAAAATTGAAACAGCCGTTAATGTTGGGTATGACTTTTGTTTGAAAGTATTGCTTTCTATCTAAAATTGTACCCTTGTTTTTGGTTCTAATTTTTGTTCATTTTACAGTTATGCTTGCAGTTTGTTGAGAGAAGGGATGAGGAAGATAGTAATCAACTCTGAGTCACATAGGGCAAAAGCATCCGTTAAAGTGTCAGATAAGACTTCCATACACAAAGTAAGTTAAGGGGTCTTCCAAGTGGTGGTGTGTCATACTGTCATATTGTTGATTTGTGTGCTGCGTACTTTGAAATTCGAATGTTTGTTTTTCTTATTCTATTTGAGGATAATGTATTAATTGGCATCGCTTACCAGTGATCCCTTTTTTAGTGGTGACTATCTGCTTGTACAACCCTGTTACTAAAATTCAGATTATTTAGGTTTTAAAAGAAATGGTTGTCCAAGACTTAAGAGAGGGGAAGGAACTGCTTTGTTTATCGCATGGGAGCTCAGAGGCACTGGCTCTAATTATTGATGGAAGGTCACTCAGTTATGCATTGGAGGATGATGTCCAACACATATTTATAGAGCTTGCTCTGGGTTGTGCATCGGTCATCTGCTGCCGTTCATCTCCTAAACAGAAAGCACAAGTAAGTCATGTTATTTAGTTTTCATCATTTTTTGCTATCAATTTATCACCATGTTACATGTATCTTATTGCAACACTTGATTACAGACTAAGTTACAAAGATACACTTTCTTCCAGAAAAAAGAATGACAGCATAATAGAAGGCAGTCAAGGCACTGTATGTGTAATAAAATTGAGGTCCTTTTAATCAGTGATAGGCTTATTAATATCCTGCAGGTCACACAACTGGTAAAAACTAGAAGAGGAACAACATTGGCGATTGGTGATGGCGGAAATGATGTAGGCATGCTCCAAGAAGCAGACATTGGGATCGGTATTAGTGGCTTTGAGGGAATGCAGGTAGATGTAGCTCCTTCATTCATGCCACATTATAATTATAAATAAACGACATAAAAAAACTCGACTCCTTTGCTTGTTGTAACCTCTGAGATTTGGATTGTTTGAAGAATAGGCGGTCATGGCAAGTGATATTGCAATAGCTCAGTTTCGTTTTTTGGAGCGTTTGGTACTTGTTCATGGGCATTGGTTTTACAGAAGGATCTCATCAATGGTAATTTTTTCCACCTGTTTCCTTCTTCCATTTAAATCCTCTTGTTACTGGTATTGATGTATTGTACCTTTGAGCATGATAAGTGAATGACTAGTCAAAGTTGAGCACTTGAACTGCTCTATAAGTTAGCAAAAATTTGCAATGACAGTATCCTTTTGGCTATTTTCTAGATATGTTATTTCTTCTACAAGAATATATTGTTTGGCTTCACACTCTTCTATTACGATGCATACTCATCATTCTCTGGTGAACCTGCATACAACACCTGGTTTTTGACCCTCTACAATGTCATCTTTACATCACTCCCTGTGATTGCTCTTGGAGTTTTTGACCAGGATATTCCTGCCGAGTCATGTCTCAAGGTAACTAGTCTAAACTTCCTGTACTTGCAACTAGTCAGTGAGCTATTGCTCTCCTGCTGCTCTCATAACTGATGTGATTGCTTTTCAGTACCCTCAATTGCACCAAGAAGGTGTACAAAACATCCTATTTAGCTGGAAAAGAATATTCGGTTGGTTACTCAATGGGATAGTTAGTGCAACGGCAATCTTCTATCTTTGTATATTCACATTGGAAAATCAGGCCTTTCGTAGAGATGGTGAAGTAGCTGGATTTGAAGTTATTGGAGCCGTACTCTACACTTGTGTGTTATGTGTAGTGAATGCTCAAATGGCTCTTTCCATAAAATATTTCACTTTCATCCAACACTTGGTCATCTGGGGAAGCATTCTATTTTGGTACATATTTCTCTTAGCATACGGAGCCATTGATCCTTACATATCAACTACTGCATATAAAGTCTTTGCTGAAGCATGTGCATCTGCTCCATCTTTTTGGGTTGTTATGCTTCTTGTTTCCGTGGTTGCATTGCTTCCTTACTTCATATATGCTGCTCTGAGTACGGAGTTTTTCCTGCATTATTGTCAAATGCTAATGGCTAAACTGAGAGTCCAAAGTAATTTTACTTTGTTAGACAGAGAACATTAACACAGAATATTAGGCTGTACAGTGCAATTTATTTAAGTGTAGCATTTCTGAGAAGACAGAGCTCCAGAGGTATTTTATAGGTTTTAAGTCTTACTGTACAAGAATTAGCTGCTGTTGGTTATTATTCTTATTCTGATGATCAAGATTCCATTACATTAAATTAACATATGGGCTGAAGTTCAACACATCAAAGGTGTCAGAACTCGTAACAGCTAGGAGCCGAAGGTCAGAGTGAAGTACAAAGTTCATGCTCACCGTAGTACATGAAGCTCCTCTGATAATTCATAATGTTAAGATTGAAAGCTCCAAAAATTGTTTTATTTTTTCGGAGTCTCTAAGAAAAGGCATCCTTGAACATTTTTTGTTAATCACCATATGTATGTGGTAGTTAATGAATAATTCATCGATATTACATGCTAATGTATAACTTTTTCATGGCCTTCTTGATTCTTACTGTGTTTACAATGAGCATAGTAGCCTTCAGATCAGAAATACACTGTAGAATATTTTCAACTGCAAACTTTTCCAGGTCTTCATCTTTATAGCTGTCAAAACAATTAGTCAATCCAACAGTATCCAATATTGCAAAAACATTCAAGATTTCTGATTTTTGTCAAGATCTGTTTTTTCAGGGGATACTTCAGTACCCTCTTCCTTTATATCCTTTGTGATCTACTGTTATTCATTTATCTAAATTTTATGACAACTGAAATTATGATACATGGAACAAGTAGAGAAATTGAATCAGAATCTTCGAAATTGGGACAAAGATTTCCTTGTATCCAAAAACAAGCTGTCAATGAAATCCTACAACCACTGCATAAACGGAGGATGGAATCATGGAAAGTCTTGTGCACGCCGATCAGCAAAAAGAGCTGTAATGTCTGTCATCTCAGCGCGTTAATAAGTCTCTCTCTCTTATTAACCTAAGTTATAAAATAGAATAGGGAAAGAAATTTTGTTTTTTGCTTATTGATCAACTCCAAATAAGTGAGACTAATATGTTAAGTTGAGAAATGCAACAGTCCTCTGAAACAATGTCTTGTACAGACAAACTGAATATGGTGACCAAGCGGCTGTTGGAGACTGTACTATGACTCCACGAGTCGTGCAGTTTCCATTTTACACCTGGTTTTACGGTCAAGTCATAAACCTATTGCTAAAATTTTGCTCATCTTCTCAATTAGGAGTTGGGAAAACTTCAACCAAGAAAGAAAATGAGTGTGCATGGTACATCCGAGTATATAATAGACACCAATCATGGTTATATTGACGGAAAATTTTGATTTTTTATATTATAAAGTATTAATTATCTGTACCATGGTTAGATGTGCTTGTAGTGTACTTGAAGCACTTAGTAAGCTATTCAAACTTACATACCTTAATTAATAAAGACATAAATGATTGAATACCATGTGCAATGAACTTGTCTTGCCCTCTTTTTAATTAGGTGGTTAAATCATAATCATGAACATTATATTACGTGCATTGAACCTATCTTTTTTTAAAAAAAAAAAATTTAGAAAATTCTGAAAACTAGATCTGTAAAAGAACTAGACAAACTAGTAGAAATGTCAAATGTACATAGAACAAGTCAAAACAAAAATTTCACTGAAGAAAAAAACAATAGAAAATGTCAAAATTCCCCTGTTTTCTAAGTCTTTAGATCTCCCAAATCTATGAACATAATTACATAAACAAATGAAAATGTTAAAGATTAAAATTTCTGAAATTTAGATTATTATATAGCAGTGTAATATGCAAAGGATTAAAAAAAAATACAGTTAGTTCACACCCAAAATTAAAATGGATGAAGAAAAAAGAAAGTTAAAAACAAACCAACTAATTTTCACATAAATCTGGCTATTATGATACAGGAAGACCAAGAAAATTAGCAGCAGATTTAGCCATAATAGAAGCAAACTCATGAAAACTAATAACTCCATCACCATTCGCGTCGGCTTCATTGATCATCTCTGTTAACTCTCTGTATGTCAATGGCTGACCCATTTTAGCCATTGCTCCTGCAAGTTCTGCAGCTGTGATTACACCATTACCATCGCGATCGAATATTCTGAACACTTCCAACAACTGCCCTTGATTCACTAGTATTTCTTCCTTCATATCAGGCATAATTGCGCTTACTAGTTCATCAAACTCGATACTTCCGTTGCCATTTGAGTCCATTGAGGCTAGCATGACCTCTAGCTGATCACCTGATGGCTTAAGTCCTAAGGACCTTAGTAATGCAGCTAGCTCTAGCACTGTTATGCTGCCGTCTGAGTCCATGTCGAATCGTGTAAATATGTCTCTTAGTTGCTTTATTTGATCAACCATGATGTGTTTTTTTTTTTTTCTATTTTAGTGGGTGATCAAGTTGTTATGTATGTGTATTTCAAACAATAACAATAACAATAACAAGCCGGTATGGAGCTCGTACGTACGTTGATGTACGTATAGGGATATCGAGAATAATGAAGGCGGTGCCGTGGTGGTAGTGGTGGTGAGGAGAAGAGATAAAGGGTTGTCCCAAAGAAGGGAGGAGGAGCATATAAAGGATGAAATTTTGAAAGGGGAGGAAGTGGTTAATTCTGTTATGATAATTAAAGGGTGTATTTTTGACCAAGTGTAAATAATGTAATAATAGTTGTTTGGATAAAGTATAACATAAAGCGCGTCGGTGGATTTTATGGGTTGTTTTATTTAATTTCTTTTTTATTTATTTATTATTTATTTTATTTTTAACTTTTTGGTATTGAGTTGGTTGAATAGTGATCATTTTTGCACTAGTTGAGCAACTTGGCAAGTTCCTTGAAAGAAGTCATATTCTTAAAAATTTGTAAATATTGGTGATTATTTGGGTTTAGTTTGTCTAAGATAAGATAGGAAAGGAAGGATGTTCATGCTAGGAAATAGTCATGATACTTCCCTAGTTCACCATGTATGTGGTGGATTTTTTTATTCTTTCTTTTCAATATGTTATGTAAGATAGATACATACAATACAAGTATACAACTATATAAGAAATTTATTTATTTATTTTTTTATAAGGAAAGGTAAATAAAAGGTTAGGATATTTTTCTCTCAATATTATACCCTAACTTATAAGAGCAGTGATATAGAAAATCGACTTTAGGTATCAACCTCCAACACTTTAAACCTTTTAAGATAGTTGACATTCTAATTTATAGTATTTTTAAAAGTAAGAAACACTAGTTGATAAAAAACAAAAAAAACAAAAAAAAAAAAAAAAAAAACTCTAGTTGATACCTTGACTTAAACGAACCAAGTAAGTGAGTCAATGGATAAGTTACTCTTTTTTTTTCTTTTTTTTTTTTTAATAAGTGCTCAATTTCTCTTGCGTATATATGCCAATGCAAACCTTTGACTTTTAACTTTATCAATAAGTATAAATTAAACTATAATAATTTTTTTCAAAAAATAATAAATAAATAATTTATAATAATTGAAATTAAATAATCTATTCGTTGAGACTATTCCAATAAGTTTCAAAAAATCATAAACATTAGTCAAAAGTAGGTCAAGTGAAAAGTGCTATGGAGCACTTACTATTACTAGGGCGGCTACCGCAACTACTCATGTGATGTCCATACAGCTTTTTAATTGAAATTAAATAATCTATTCGTTGAGACTATTCCAATAAATTTCAATAAATCATAAACATTAGTCAAAAGTAGGTCAAGTGAAAAGTGCTATGGAGCACTTACTATTACTAGGGCGGCTACCGCAGCTACTCATGTGATGTCCATATAGCTTTTTCGATTTATACAAATATATCTTGCGACAAATATTATAATAATCCTATAATATCTATTAGAATTTATGTCACACTTTTACTTATTGGTAGCATAAATAATGGGAAATAGGTAAACAAATACTCCCTTCATTCCTAAAAGTTTGACTCACTTTGCATTTGTACGGTTTCCTTGACCATTAATAACTTCGGTTATGTATAAGTAAAAATTTTAAAAAGTTAAAAATTTTATTATTAGGGGAATCTAATAATATCAAAGTTGTTAATTCATGTTGATTGTATAAATCATAAAGTTATTTTATTTTGACCACAGAGTGAATCGAATTTTCAGGAACGGATGTAGTATTTTATTTGTAAGGTATAAATGATCGCACACTATTATTAAAGTTTAAAAAAGAAACAATTAACATTAATGAGACTAATAAGTAAATAAACATTTTATATGGTATTATTGTTAAACACTATTTATAAGATAGACTTATTTTAAATTTTTTTTTTTTTTTTTAAATAGCGAAAAAAACTGAGGGAGTAACATGAGCCCACAGGTTGTGGTGTTTGGGATGAATTCAAATTTTCTAATTCTTGTTGGTTTAGACATCCACATTTTATAGTACAACTAATTCTTTGATTGTTTTAGCAGTTGGACCAAACATAAATAAAGCTCAACTAATTTCATGTGTTGTAAGCTAGTTATTAGTAATTTATTTGTAACTATCTTTATTTTTGCAAAACCTTGTTAAGCTATCTTTTTAATCATCTAATACTATGTTTTCAAGGCATGTATTGAGATCATGGGCCAATATTGGACCAATTGTATAAAACTATGTGACATTGTGCCTTTAAAATTATTAAAAGCTATTTTAAGTCGAAATTTCGAATCAAATTCAAAATTCCAAATTTAAATTAGATTGAATTGGATAAGATGTGAAATTTGAATCGGATTGGATTCAACATATGAAAATTGAATGTACGCACCTTCTTTTGAGTTGAACTGTGTTTATAATCCATGTTGTTTGTGATTCACCCTTAACTATGTTGTTTAGGTGAGTGAGGCACACACGTTTAATGTTGGTGAGTTGTCATTTTAAAGAGTGCATAATGAACACCGTATCCCGAGTGCATAACCAAGCATTATAAACTCGGCCTAGAATATTTTCAGCACCGTACATACTACATAGATATCCAAACATTTTTATATGCAAACAACCACATTTATCTTCAAATCCATTATATTATAATCTTCAATCTTCATATAAATTTATATATACAATGTTCATCATATCATTGCAATAGATAACACTACATCTAAAAAAACTTACACAAGGACAATGCTAGATCTCAAGCAGTACAGTAGGCAGCTTGCATTGGTCTAGTAGAATTCCTAACTTGTTAGTCGTGACCTTGAAATCACAAGATCGGAACCTTGATCTTCTCCATACCCTAAGGATCTAGCCTGCTAATTTGGATTGAGTTGACATGTAAAGATTTCGTCGCATTGTGATCCTTCATTTAACCTCAAAATGAATTCACAATGAAAAATTCTCATGTTCCATCCTTTAATTGGATACATTTTATAACAAAACATGTAACAAAAACTATGTTTATTTTACTACTAAATTAATCATACCTTGAATCATCCATATACAAAACACATTCCTAGTTAGACTCTTCATATTTCTAATTGTCATTTTCATCAGCAAGAGGAGGAGCAACAGCAGCCACCTTCCCACCTCTAACACCTCCAACATCAGCGCCCCTAGCAAAAGGCCAACGCCAACGTCGTTTAAGCCACCCGAAACAGGATCCCCTGTACTTGATACTCTCTAGGGGAGTCTCTTCCTTCCCTAGCCAAAACCTACCAACAAGACATGAAATTATTGCTAGAACAGCCAACACAGACATAACAGCAAAAAATGGACCTATCGATCCTTTGTTGTTGTAGTCGTTGTTGTTATTGTTATTATTATTGTTATTGTTACGCCACACATTGTTGTTCGGTACAACTTGTGTGTATGGCACATCCCCTTGCATTTGGGGTTGTTCTTGATTAGGTAAATTTGATATTGTTGTTGCCATTTTTTTTTTTTTTTTGTAATATCGGATCATAAAATTTATTGCCTATTTATACAAAATTAGATGACAAAATTTTTAAAGGTTTGTTTTATTTTATTGTAATAAAAGTGGCAAAACAGACTTTATATTACTAGTGCTATACTTGTTAACTTTTTCTTTATGAAGGGAATGGAATACCACATGCATGGAGTCATGGAGTTACATATCTAAGTAATCAAACTATCTTTTTTATCCACTTTTCTTTTTGCTTTTGCTAGCCAAGTCTCATGGCATTCACCTGTTTTTCTAACTTGAAAAGACAAGAAAAAAACTTAAGAGAATATTCCATCTTTTATTGAGTGAGGTGGAAATCTATCCTCCCATGTGATTAACTCTCATTGATTATTCTCTCCCTCCAAATTAGCTAGCATAATTTAATTCGGCACACATGTCAATACACAATATATGACGTAACTTGTACTATCATACTGTTAGATTATGTGATGTTTAACCATAAATTCAGCTCATTTATACAAGGGGTGGAGAGCCGGAGAGGTTGTGATACTTGTGAATACTGTAAAGAATATTTTAGTGAAATTACAATTGTTTGTCACTTTGAAGTATGAATTGGTTTGGGAAATCTAAACAATGTGATTACTAATTCCAAACAAGATAATAGAAGGGATGTTATAGATAATTGGGATTAATTAGTTCAAAAGATAGTTATGTCCTTTATACATGTAAGTTAACCTTTTTATTAAACTTTCTTCTTGTGTATGTAGTTTCATCATGTTTCATGTTAGTGACTAGCAATTAACAATTAACAGTTAAGCAATTTCCTAATCAAAAGAAATATTGTTGGACGTGTAAAGGGAATTGAAACTCAGGCACCTGTTGTCTTTACTTAGCCATCAAGATTTTTCTATACAGATGAAATTCTTTCTAGTTATTCATTTTCTTTATACGGAGTATTTTTTATAATTAATACTTAGTATATAATTATATAATATAAATTGTTAGAACATCATGGATTATACATTATGTTACTGATTTTCTTTAAATCATTGTACATTAACTACACTACTAAATACGTATAACTACACTACTAAATACGTATAACTAAAAATAAAAACCTAACGTAAGTATAATCTTTACATACAAATTATAAATGATGGTGAAAGTGAAATTTGTGAAAAGTATCAAATATCACAACCATAAAGAAATTAGGTGATGATAAAACCCTAGCCTCTCTCTCCTCTCTCCTCTCTCTAAAACTCTAGCCTCCATTATTGAATATTGGAGAGGCTTTCATCAATTTTTATCGATGGAAAGCTCCAAATCGTTTGTTTTTGTGTGCTTTTTCTATTGTTTTAGGTTTATAATAACTCTTCCTCTTCTAGGAGGAATTTTTCTCCCTCGAAAGACAGGGTTTTTCTTCTTCTTTAGGAGAATTTGGCTTCTTCGAAAAACCCGGTTTTTTCTTCTCTCTTTTGAAGGAGGATTTGCTTTTTTATTTCATGGATTGCTATAGAGTTGTTTCATGGGTAAAAATTTGTGCGGGATAAAAAAAAGAGATTATTTCGATTACAATCTAGCGAATCAAACGGAAAATTTATGCACGGCTACAACATATCGATAGACCCCTCGCCTATGAAGGCCGTAAATCACAGCGATATGAAAGAGGGTATAAAGATTAGAGATTGTACGATTTGCAACAATGATCGTAGCTTTGCTTATGGAATGTTTTATTTGATTCAATTATTATGTATTCATTAGATAAAAATCTCTTTATAGATGTCGTATAACTTTATTTATGAATCAATTTTATTTCAAAAAAAAAAAAAAATTAGGTGATACGTTTTGCAATCTAATATATATAAATAAAGTAGGCATTTTTCGGAAGCATTCGGGGCGCCACATAAGAAAAGTAAATATTTCGTCCAATGATAAATTAGATTTGTATTTTAATTTTGAATAAAATAATTGTATCGCCATGTAGGTATTAGTAGCGAATAAGATATGGTATTTATCTTATAAAATTTTAATGCCACATAAAAAAATTGTATCGCCACGTAGGTAAAAGTAGCGAATAAGATATGATATTTATCTTATAAAATTTTAATGCCACGTGGATGAAAAACCACAAATTTTATTTATCATTATCTTTATTTATCTTATAATAATTGTCATTTTCAACTCCACTTTAATAATGCAACCGAATCAAAATTATCTTATAAATGATTTTTTTTTTTCGGTCAAATAAAAATTTAAGGGAAAATTATCTAGCTTGTGACACGTACTATATCACAAATACTAAATAATACCTCCGAAAAAAAATTATATTTAAATGATAAAGTATCATTATAAGATAAATTTTGATAGTGTTTATGATAAGAAATTAAAATTGTTCATTAATCATAATTAAATTAAATTTTTTTATACCTACTGTTATAAATTGACACATATACGACACCAACAAAATTTCATATTTATACAAAATTCGCATCTAGAGAATTTTGTATTGGTAATTTTGTGTCAGTTTTAGATCATCAATGGTAGGGTACTTTTTAGCTTAATTTCATATGTTTATGTTTTGTTTGATGAATTTCGTTTTTACATGCAGATTAGAGAATTAAATTCGAGCAAAAATGATTAAAAATTCAAAGTACGAGATTTTCACCTGTTTGTTGTACTAAATTTCCGCAAACAAAATAGCTTAATAAGTCTGGATATGGTAATATTGGACGAAGAGGTATTTTTAAAAATAAATATTGTGATTTGGATTGCATAATCAACTTATTAAATTAATTTAATTTCTTATTTTTAATTTTAGGGTGATTACACAAGTTCATGCCTCAATTTAAAGCCAATTGTGTTCAACATTTTCGTCCAAACTTGATTGAAGACAATGAAATGTTTACTCTATTAGAAACTTTTCAGTCGTTCCAAATAATAAGCAATATCGCGTTGTCAAATCGACAATAAAATAATAATTCAATAATTAATGATGAAAAAATTCCAATGCATAGATTTGATTTTATACATTTACAATTTTTAGATCTATTTCGCAACAATTATATCGATATTTTTTATTAGGTTTTAATAATATTCTTACATATATTTATGTGTATCTAATAATTTTTTTTTTACATTTTGCTTATGTGTAATTTTTTTAATGTTCTTATTGAAATATTTATTAGGAAAAACAAGTTTATGTAAAGCTTTGGAATAATATTTTGTTGAGCATACGAAACAGAAAAATCAACTTAAGTTTGTTTTTTTTAAAAAAAATTATTCTTATTCATTAGTCAAGTATGCAAAACTTGAATTTGTTAAATTGAAATAAACTATGAAAATATTATCTCATTCGTCGGGTGGTTAAATAAAATCATTTAGATCGATCAAAAGATTTTTTTAATTCTATTAAAAAAAAATTAATTTTTTTAATTATTTTTTAAAAATATTCTACTTCTAATATAAAAGATAATAAGAAATTACAAAATAATATACAAAATGAAATACAAAAAAACTGTGCATCGCACGGGCTTACATCTAGTTTACATAACGCTTAGAAGACTTTATGATGAGCTCGTTAATTAATAAGTAAGAAATGTAAGAAAACAATCACTTCTTAAAACTTAAAGAAACATGTTCTCAAAATGTGTAATCATCCTTTTGGTATACACAAACACAATAGGCTTGAGTAGGGAAGAGGTAGTTTTTTTGCTCACATAGACTTGCATTGACGCTATGTACCGTTCTCTTTGCTAGGCCCCTATGCTACTCCCATTTTCAGCTTCCTCGCCTTCTTCGCTCTGGTTTGGGTATGTTATGGCGGCGACAAGATCTTAGCTCCCAGGTAAGTCTTAACGGGGTTTGTCTTGCAGGTTTCCGTCCAAATGTTCGCGGCGGCAATGCTCTCCATTACATAGGTTATATTACCAAAGCTTGTAATATATTTGTTGAGTGTGCTTTGTATTTTAGTTCCTTTCTGTTAACCTAGGTTGTAATTTGCTCTTTATTTATAAAGTTCTCTGTCAAAAAAAAAAAAAAAAAAAAAAAAAAAAAAAAAAAAAAAAAGAGGTTGTGTAGGATTGGTTTAAAGTAGCATATTTTGGACACAACTAGCTTTTGGCTAAGGTAATGTCACTAATAGTAAGTATTACTTAATCTTAAATGGGTTGAAAATATTAGTTTGATACTATAACGACTAGGGCCTGTTCTCATTGACTGAACTCAGCTGAATTGAGCTGATCTGAACTGAACTGAACTGAATTGAATATTTTATAAGAGAAGGAAATTAGGAGCTGAACTGAACTGAGCTGAGCTGAACTGAATTGAATTGAATTTCAACGTAAGAGAACAGGCCCTAACGGTACAACAACAAAATCAAGCCATCCACGAACCAAGCTTTATGTACATTCTTTGTATATGGTTAGTTAAAAAAATAAAATGATAAGAAATAACATGCAATATATGTAACGGAAAATATAGGTGTATACGAAGTATACCTTAATTATTGCTCATTAAAAATAAAAATTAAAATTAAAAAAAAAAAAAAAAAAAAAAAAAAAAAAAAAAAAAAACCTTAATTATTGCTAAATAAAGGTAATTATTATTGAGGGTTCACCTTTAAAGAAAAGGGTCATGAACTCATGGTTAATAATGGCGGATATGATTAGAATTTAGCAACCACATTAGCATTTAGTACTGTAGCCACTATAAGAGGTTAGGAATGTTGTACTTTTCAATTCCATAAGGGAAAAAAAAAAAAAATCTCAACAAGCAGCAGGGTCTTTCATAAAGGTCCAAGGATCAGAATTTCCCAATTCTTAAAATGAGGGGGGAAATTATGCCAGCAAAGATAACAGAATCTCATATAATAAGATTGCCATTAATAGATACGGAATACTGTTTTTGTTATAAATATGCCCCAAGTCTACACAAATGATAGCAACAACATTCTACTAGACAAACTGTAGTTTTCACTATACTCTTAAGTTCCCAAATTTCTCAGACTTCCA